ATGGATTCTGAAACTTCATAAGCATAACATAGGTAATTATTTCTTTGCTTTGTAATTCTCTTTCTATATGAAAGGATCATAATAATTATTTTGTAAATTTTTCTGTTTTTTGGAAGTACTGTATTAGGCATAATAAGAAAATGTAATCAGTTTTACCATTGACACCAGGTAGCGCCACCTACTATAACAATTTTTACGTAATTACCTATGTGTTTAAGTAAATAAAAATATTATTTTGGTACGCCTCTGCAGAGTTGGTAAGAGGATTATCTGTTGGTCACTTCAAGTGCGACGTTGCCAATGAATCACCTTCAATTGAAAATTGTTATAGTATAGAGGCTGATCTCAAATGGTTACCTTTCTTGGGAAAGGAAGATGAATTAGAAAAATGTTATACAAAGTATGCAACTGAAACAACGAAAAGACAAATTTAGATGCCATCCATACAGGAAAACTGGGACTAATGCATCTGAACGTAATATTAGGTGCGAAGTTCAAGAAATTGAGGTCCTTCTGGAGAAATTAAGCCCTGATATCTTCTGAGTATCAGAACATTGGTGTAAGGAAGGGGATATAGAACTAAGCAATCCGAATAGCAACTCGCTTGCTAGTAGCTATTGCCGAAACTGAAATCGAGGTGGAGGAAAAGCTATACAGAGTGTTAATTAAGTATGTATCATAAATTTAACAGACGATTTTTCAAGTAATTTCAAGACGAAATGTTCATATAAACATGGGTCCCCAAATCCTTCGTTCTCAAGATACAGGGTGTTGAAATAAAAATTAAAATTAAAGTTATACGTAAATATCTTGAATATCCTTCTCCTAATTTTTTTTGGAATTAGGCAATGCTATTTATAACATCAAGGAGCTAATTTAGCCCAAACGTAATTCAAATTATCAAGTCAAGTGGCGTCTCGAGCGGGACTCGAACGAATATTTTTGAATTAAAAATGTACGCCACTGACTTTTGTGAAATTTCCATTATTTTTTTGGATTGAGCAATTAGAAAAACAACTTTTTTGTCTCTTGATTTTTTTCCGTATCTTGCTTAGTTTTTATGAAAAAAAGGCGACCTAATAGCATATCCTTGGACCACACATAGAATAATATACGGAATTAAATGTTTCTTTTGGAAATTATTATTTTTACAATTTTTCATTACTAATTATGTAACAAATATTAAATAACATTAACATCCAGACTAACGAATTGCACTAAATTAAGTGTTATAAATGGCCTCCTTCGGCTTCAATACAACCGTCTAGCCGCCGCATCATTGAATTTCGCACTCTTCTGAAAATACCTGGCGTATGTTTTATTATGTCATATGAATTAATGATTTTATTCCGCAAATCCTCTTCACTTTGAATAGCAGTTTTGTATACCAACGCTTTAAGGTATCCCCAGAGAAAATAATCTAAGGGATTCATTTCGGGCGAGCGAGGTGGCCATGGGTGTGGTCCTGCTCTCCTAATCCAGCAATTATGATAATGTTCATCCAAAAATTGCCGTGCCACTACACTAAAGTGTAGTGGAGCA